TAACAAGGGGTAACAAAGGGTAACAAGGGAAACAAGGGGTAACATGGGGTAACAAGGGTAGCAAGGGGTAACAAGGGGTAACAAGGATAACAAGGGGTAACATGGGGTAACAAGGGGTAACATGGGGTAACAAGGGGTAACAAAGGGTAACAGGGGTAACAAGGGGTAACAAGGGTAACAAGGGGTAAAAAGGGTAACAAGGGGTAACAAGGGTTATTATTGGGTAACAACGGGGAATAAGGGTAACAAGGGGGTAACAAGGGGAGGAAAGGGGAACAAGGGGAAACAAGGGGTAACAATGGGGAACTAGGGGAACAAGGGTAACATGGGTGGACAAGGGGTAATAAGGAGTACGTCTTGGAAAACAGACGTGGAGAACTTTTCTTTGAATCCTTCCGTTTTACGGTATCAAAGACAAGTGCGGGAGCGAGCATGATATTTGCAGTCAAAATGAACAACCTAGTTAAAAAGAACCATAACAAAATTTGGGGATTCCTGACCGACACAGATCTTTATCCACAGTACAAAATAAGACTCATTTTATCCATTTCAATTCCTGAAAGGCTAGTGATTGTATATAGTGTCCTTAAAGGTTTTGGAGGAGCTGTGGGTTTGCATTGCTACTCTAACTGAAAGGCCAAAACAAATGCACGCCACTGATGCATAGTCTGAACAACTTACCAAGTTGTTTTTTGAGCGCTTCAAGTAAAAGCTTGTCCTTAAGGGCGTCATATTTCTGATCCAAAGCCTTGATCAAGTCTTGATCAGTTCCTGTGCCATCATAATCTAACAAAACAGTCGCTACGTTCTCCACCACGCCATCCTTACGCTCTTGTTCCTGTGTCTGTTTTAGAGCTGCCAGTTCTGCTTGACTCTGCATTGGAAAAACACAAAAACGCAACCAAAAAGTGCAAGAATGAATTGAGATTCGATTTCCGCGAAGCTTTTGTATTAGGACATCTGGGCCCAGTTGCTCGAAGGCCGATTAGCGCTTAACCCGGGCTTAAATTTAGCCAGGGTTTCTTTTTCTTGTGTTCAAAAGCATTTTCTCGGCTAATTTCCTCTGTTATTTTTAGAGCCTCCAATCATCATTTTGTAGACAAAAAGAATTAAAACTAAAGTGCTTTTTAAGCTTTCAAATCTGAATTTAAATCTCGCACTAACCCTGGGTTATCTTAACCCAGCTTTGAACAACTCGGCCCTGAATAGTAATCAAGCATGCACGAACGCAATCTAATTTATCTAAACTTCTACTTTTTTATACCTTGGCCAAACGTCGAACTTTTCATGGGACGAACTTAACTCTAATTTTGGTCGACCTAAATTAAGTTAAGATCGTCTGTTTGGGTCGGATGCGAACTTAGGACGCGTCGAACCAATCAACTGAATCAGACAAAAACATTTTCCCTGAACAGGGCTAAATGTACATTTTCGTATAATTTTTTAATGAATTAGTTTAGTTCGTCTCATGTTAAGATCGGCGTTTGTCCCGAAGACGAACTTCAGGCGTTCTATAATAATTCGCGTAGCCAGGCGTCAAAACAACCTACAATAGCTCAGAATGAATCCATCAGAAATACAATTAATCTGAGCGACAAACAGTCCCTGTCAGAGCAACTGAATAGACCTCTTTAGCTTGTGCGTTTTGTTTTCCCAGTGATGGTTTCAGTTTTCAAATTGTCCCTATATCTTTTCATAAACGATGCGTACACATGCACGGAAACATGACGAAATTTGAATCAAGCTCCAGAGTATTATCACATGACCTATTTTGCGAAAACAACTGACATTCAAGATAAAGAGGTCTATCAAATTCTTTACTCACATATTTTCTTTGTACTACAAGAGTAGTGAAGAATGAAAATCACATCTTTCCGCGTTTATTTTGTGTACGGGACACAGATGACGCAAAACAAAATACTTCTTTGTTTTCTGTTAACCCTTTGAGTCCCAATAGTGCTCAAAATCAATTTTCTCCTAACGATATCCATGGGCTATCATGAGCAAAGTCTATGAGAATTAACAAAATGATCACAAAGAGAAAAATATTTGATCTTTTACCAAATTCTCTCAACTAATTCTTCAAGAAATGTATGGAGATCAGTTTGGAGAATTTGTATGTGGATATTGGCACTTAAAGGGTTAAGGGAAAAATCTGCTTGTGACTGTTTCATGGTTTTTGTTCTTCTGTTTTACATTATCTGTGACTGGTACGCGAAGTAAATGCCCATCTTTCGTTCTCTTTTTTCACTTACCTTATCCTGAAGCTGACTCATGATACCTTCACTCTCCTTATCTTGTAGTTCTTGTAAGTCCGCCATGATAGATACCGTAATCTGTTCATCATCCACTTCGCTTTCTTTTTCGCTGGTCAGTCTGAAACGTCGCACTTCAAATTTATAAGCACAAGCCATGTCTAAGACGTCGACGTGATGTCCTTGATCAGCTACAGATACAATGAAAATGGTTGAAAGTCATAAATAAGAAGGTACACTGTATTACAAACGTCAATTCCGGATTAGGACTAGGTTTGGCCTTCCTTCGTGATTGCACTATAATAAGGTCATCTCTTAAAAACTGTGCGCAGTTTATTCTCAAGTATAACCTACTGTGAAAGCGTCAGAGAAACGAGAAATGACGGTAGCTCAGTCTGTGTGATAGGCTCTTGTCCTCTTATAATTCAAAAACTGACTCAACGTACTTAAAGTAACCGGCAGCATAGAGTAGTTCGCTGATAAAATAATCTTGTCTGCAAAAGCGCTGTTGCGACAGTCATGGCCTAAAGGAGCATCTTCTTAGGGATTTGCTGTCAGAAAGTTATTGAACTTACCCTTGACACCAAAGTCAAGCTCCTCTCTCTTCGCCTTCAGTTCATTTAGTCGTTTCAGTCTGTCATCCTCGCTTACTGCTCTTGCTTCTTCTCTCATGTCTTTGCTGCTCTCGTCTTGGAGTAAGCTCATCAAGAACTCTTGCTCCGCGCGATGTTTCCTCTCTAGCGACTTCAAAACTGCATCTTGCCATCCTTGTATATCGTCTGTGAATGCACAAAGATGACTGAGAGGAGCTTTCAAAACTAACTTGCGAATGCATAGGTAAGCTCATAACTCAGAACAACTCATTGTCCTTAGTTTTAAATTTGCGGATTGAATCTTAAAAGATGGTCACTGGCTTAAATATAAGCGTTTATCCATGTGTGAACTGCTCACACGACAACATGACACGAAAACTACTGAGCAGTACTTTCCTGTGGTACTGTTTATTACACTGTGAAAGGCGGTTATAGCTAAGTCTGTGGATGAAATTCTTAAGTGTGACCATTCGAAATTAGCGAAATTTAAGTGTCGCGAAAATTTCATGTAGTAAGGCATTACTTTCCACCGATGCTGGCAAATTTAATTTCAGACGCTTTGCAAGAAATCTTAGTCACAGTGATGATCCTTTAGATGAAAACTGAGCAACACTTAATTGTGATTAGGTTTCTGAAGGCGCGAAAGTAGCATCAGGATTTTGAGGTGCTCATTAAAAGATTTAATAGTTAATGAACCTTTCTCAGGTTCTAGTTCATCCTCCTCCTCCTCGTCTTCAGCTGTTCCTCGTCTTTTTCTCCTTGCTAATCGTTCACGCGCTAACTGTTCTTGGCGTTCACGATCACGGCGTAACCTGACAAATCAACAGGACAGGTTAATCACAAATGTGTTGATCAATCGACTCGAGCAGGTTTCCGAAGGACAACAGCAGCAACAACAACAAAAAATTATCTTGCCTCGCCATTGACGGAAATCGTCAGTCCTATAAAGAAATTGTTATACGTGAAGAAAGATTTGGTTTAATTTCTGGTTCAATTTTATTTGTGTAATAGGTATCTCACCTTTCTTCAAGATTCTGCCGATTTCTCTCTGCAAGTCCCAGCACCAATGCAGCCTCATCAAATTTAGACTCTCGTTCAGCTTGCCTCTTTTCACGTCTTAGACGGGCCAGTTCAGCCTGTCGACGCCTTTCTGCTGCTTGACGGTCTTGTTCCTCCTGTAAATTGAGAATAATTAAATACATAAAACAGCTGAAACGAAAAAAGACATCCATCAAAAACTTAAGCCAACACCGTTGCAAGAAAAAAGAATAAAAGGAGAAAAACCCTTAACTTGATTTAGATTCACGTTTACGACAAACGCGAAACGTCAGATAAAAGTTTACAATTTCATAAGTTAGGAAATGAGCACCCTTTGAACAGGCCAGGAAATGAGCAGACGAAAACGGTGCCAAATAATAAACAAACCTCGTATGAAAGTACTTATGTTCGTATGGATATGATAAACGTTAGGTGACAAGTAGAAGGAAATTTTGGTCATATGGTACAAATGGAGGATTCCAGTTTGCCATAAATGAACCTGATCATGTGACAAGTATCCTCAATACGTTTACGTACACTACCCTGGGTACCAGGGTTTTCTTCTCGCGTGCGGCGTGATACTTTGGTGTCGGCCACAGGTCGACAGATCTTCGGCATACGACCGAAGATACCGGAAACCGCGCTTGAAAAGTCTCTGGTACCAAAGGTAAAGAATACCTGCGCACTTAATCCTTTAAGTCCCAATAATGACCAACAACAATTTTCTCCTAACAATATCCATACGTTGTCAAGAAAAATGGTTATGAGAATTAATCAAATGATCACCAAAGAGAAAATGCTTTGATTTTTTATTAAACTCTCTCAAATTATCTCTAAGAAAATGTTTGAATATCAGTGTGGAGAATTTGTATGTGGATATGGGGAAAGACCAAAATAGTGCATCACCAACTGTATGTACCTGAAGCCTCCGTAGCAAGGCGTCTTTCTCCTCGTCAAATCTGTTCTGCAGATCTCGTAAAATATTACCAGTGCTGGCAGATTGTTCTTCTTCCAAGAGACGCATCGTTTCTTCGTCCTCTTCGTCTGGATCTAACCCTTCTTCGATTCGCTTCTGGCGACGCTCCAAGCGTTCCTTTAGTCGTTCTAGATAACGCTGGCGGTTTTCTCCCAATAGGGCCTTTGTAAAATAAAGAAGATGAAGACGGAACACGTCACCAGGATTTTCTAAACCGGCTTATCCTCACTGTGCCAGAAGAATCCTTTATCTACTCAAAAAAATTGTCCACTGTGGACGAAAGGAATTTATGCTACCTACACCTTAGTTGTGAGTATCAATTCACTATAACCGTTTTGTCCATCTATAATCTCCTTGTTCTTACTCTTGCCCTAATTCAGTTATAAAATAATTTATCCTCAACTTTGTAGCCCTCACTCTGTTCTTTGAAAAGTTCTTAATAATTCATAAAGAAAAGACAACAGAAATTAATGTTTAATGAGTGTCTTTATATCTGATTAAGACATCGCTAAACTTCACGTCCGATTTTTGAAAACAAAATAACCCCCAACTGTAAATATTAGTGCAAGAATGAGTTGATCTATATCAGAGATTTTGAACCCGTTCAAAAAACTCGCAGACTTGTATTATCATGTGTAAAAACTCTCGGCATCGCCTCCAGTTTTTAAAACCTGATAATACACTCCCGCTCGTTTTCTAAACATAACTTAAATAATTCAATTTTACCCTCGATTTTATAGCCCAGATTCTGTTCTTATCTTATATAGTTAAATTTTATCCTCGTCTTTTTAGAAGAAAAAAGAATCATCCAGCGTTTTTATAGCCTTCGAATACAGCCGTCTGTTCTCTCCTACGAGACGTTCCCAGCGGCGAGGAGCGGGAGACGGGGGTATTTGCAGGCTAGCGCGTTTTATAAGACGAAAGTTACAACCTCCCAATAGTCTCTTCCTTAAGCTTGCTAAACCAAAGTTAAGGGAATATAAAAGTTAAAACAGTACCTGTAATGCTTCGGCATTTTTTAGCCCCTCTCCTAAAAGAGCAGCGGCGTCATCAAACCTTCCCTGTTGTCTAAGTCGTCGCTCCTGGAGTTTCATCTTAGCCAAGCGAGCTTGTCTCTCCTGTTCAGAAAGTCGCGCCCATTCTGCAGCCCCCATCTGCTTTTCTAACGCTTCTAGAAGCAGCTTGTCACGTAATGCGTCGTACTTTTCTTCCAAAGCTTTCAGAAGTTCATCTTCCTGCGCGACATTATCTTCGGTTCCAAGAAGAACTGCAGCTATTCCGTCTAGTAATTCTTCCTGCCAAGATGTATGCTCTTGCTGTAGAAGACGGAATAACTCTTGGACGTCCTGGAAAAAAGAAAGGGAACATTAAGAATAATTTCCGCAAAACAGTTTAATAATCTTTTACTTCAGTCTACCAATTGCCGGGATCTTCGTGAAATCGTTACGCGATTCTTCCAGAACTTAACGTAGCCTTTCTAAGAAGAACGAAGCGGTGAAAGGAGGGACCCTTCTACCCACAACTTTCTAAAGAATGAACATGTGCACCACTTAAACAAGGAAACATTTAACGGTCGTATTCCCTAGAAAACGTTTGTACTACAGGCAACGCGTTACGCGATGCTAGTTTTCGGTGCGTGATTCTTGTCATGCATTACGCGATTCTCATATCTTGCTACGTGATTCTCGTCTCACGCTACAAGATTTTCAATGAGCGTTGCGCGATTCTGGTAGAGTCCGAACTGCTAGAAACTTTCAAATCATCTCCTAGTTGTTTATAAACACGTCTTCAATTCATATACCTTGCTGTGTAAGGAAAGCAGCATTTGACTTTCTATTTCATGTGTGTGCTGCAAGTCAGCCAAAATATCAGCAGCAACTTGTACATCATCAGGGGAAGTGCCTCTAGACACTCTCAAGTCAGCCCGTCTGTCCTCAAAAACAAGTCCAGCGGCTTCCTGAAGAATTGCGGCATGCCGCCCCTTGCTTACCAACCGTTCAGAGGAGCTCTGTTCTCTCCACGCCTGCTGCTGAGTTCGAAGCACCAACAACTGGTTGGAGCGTTCATCTGCAATTTGTCAAAGAATCAACAATGGCAAACTTTTGATACATCACACCTAAGTATTCACGGGCGCTAAAATCGGCGGGTGGGTGGACAGTGGGTGTGAGTACTTTTTCGACTACACAGATGGGGTATTTTGGGGGTAGATGCAGTTTTCAATGATTGCCATTCACCTAACATTATCTAAACATTGAACGAATCGACCGGCTATTGACTTAATAAGCTTAGACCGTTCACAGTCCTTTGTTTTTCCATAAGATCGTCAAGAACGAGCGCTTTCCGTTAGGGTTGGCGATCTTTGTATTAAAAGTACCGAGGGGTGGGCCCTGGGGTTTATACTGGTTGAGGGAGGAAGGCGAGCCAAACCCCCGCAACCCTAAGTAGATTTAATAAAAAAGTGTAATTGTAATTCGTTTAGCCAAGAAGTACTTCAGAGTTCTTGAGAACTCGTTTAAACGTGTCCGTGCGTTCCAGATCGAATTAGAATTTTGAAGTGTTGGTTTTTGAGGAGAGGGGAAAACTGGAGTACCCAGAGAAAAACCTCTCGGAGCAAAGGAGAGAACTAACAACAAACAAGCTCAACCTACATATGACGTTGACGCCGGGATTTGAACCAGGGCCACATTGGTGGGAGGCGAGTACTCTCACCACTGCGCAACCCTTGCTACATGTACCTTGAGGATGATACTCATCCTCAAGGGAGTAGACTCGGTACATTTGAAACCAAGATGGCCACCTTTAACGCAAGGCGCTAGACATCGACGATACTACGGAAAAAATGAGGACTGTGAACAGTCTTTAACAAGCCAAAAAAAAAGGATTTATTATGAGCCTGAAACAAACTGTACCTGTATTAAGTTTCTTAGCGGCACTGCGCGACTGCACACTCTCTCTTCCCTGTAGAAGGTAGATAAGCATCTCTCGCTCCATGGCTTGTTTTCTCTCCAGTGCACGTACAGTGTCCTCCAATGTATCGACCAAGCCAGCCTCTCCTATAGTACTGAACTTCAGATCTTGTCCTTTCCAGTCTCGTGGCAGCTTTCTTCCTTTTCTGTGCAGCAAACGTTCTCTGCTTAAATGTTCTTGACGTTGACGATCATCTTTTGGTCTAGAATGATAACAGACATTCGCGGTTAGTGTGACATTCCCAAAAGCAACAGGAGGATATGCCTCTGTTATCGTTTACCCCATCGTCATCCGTATTCGCCCTCTTTTCCCCTACCAAGTCTTCTACTGCCTAGCAGACAGCAAGTGGTGGCTAACTGGCTACCGGACAAACGGTACCTAAACCTTTCCAAAATATGAGATTTTAGTGAGCTATTTTATTGATTGAAGTAAAATTGTTTCTCAGAGACCAGGGGCCACTTAGGCTCCTGTAGAGAGCTAAACACAACAAACTATAGAAATTAGAAACTTGTAATTCAATTTATTTTTAGAAAGAAATATTTGTTAGCCTGAACAATTCAAACACAGACATTTCAAGAAATAGGGCGGCACAAAAGAAAAGCGGTTAAAAAGTGTTCTCAATGTCGAAATAGACATAAACGCCTTCCATGAGTTCAAATCATCATCATCATCATTCTTTTTAGAAAATGGGTTAAAGTGACTCTAGAACGTTTCATCTTTCCCTTTCTCACAACACAGCCTATCTAAGAACACTAAGAGTCCTTAGTCTTGATTTTCGTCTTATCTGAATACCTCTGTAGATGCGTTTTTAGCCTTTCTGCGATTCCAACAGACAATGCCGCACTCTCAAATTTTGCTTCTTCCAATGCTCGTAACTGCTCGCGTATGATGAGTCCATACTCTGTTAGCTTTTCCTCTGTGGTCATTGTGTTTGTATCGGCACCCTTCAACCTAGCTATAACTTTTTCTTTGTCCTGTTGATAGCGTCTTTCCAGGTCCATCAGGAGTTTTTCGCTCTTTGATTGCCCATGGGCTGCTTGTTCACGCGCTTGCAATAATTCTTCCTCTATCTCCTTGTTTGACTTTCCTGTGTAAATTGCGAACGGTACAAGTAAGTTCCACGATATTTCCATCAAAATACGATAATTAACTCCACGATTAAAAAGAATGACAGAGAGCTACAGCGAGAGATTAGAAAAAGGACACATTTTTTTTTGGAAGAACAACATGAAAATTTTGTAGCGGCGGTGAGAAAATGAGAAATGCTAGCGGTCACCAAGGTGAAAATGAGTGGCAGTGAAAAAAAAACAAAGGAACAAGACCAAGTACGACATTTCCACCATAAAACGTGTAACCGTGTAACTGAGGTGTGCTGCACGTACAAAGATGCTTTTTTGCTAATTAGACCTATTGTTGTTTTATTCATGGTTCTCGTTGCCTTCGCCGCTTAGGTCTAACATTATACGATTTTATATTTTGTATGAGCAAACTATTAATATTATCGAGAGCTTCTCTTTTAGCCATGGCTAAATCTATAAATATTATTTATAACAAGTGTGGGCATTGTTTGTATTTGTATCAACCTTAGCCTGCGTAGCAAGCGTTTCCAATCGAGTTATTGCGCAAAAGTTTCAGGGCAAACTCGCGCGGAAACGCTTGCAACGCAGGCTATATCAACCTGTAAGTGCTTTTTATGGACTTAAATAGTCTATATTGTAGCTGTTATTTTGAGCTATGAAATGATAATACAGTGGAACCTCGATATAACGAACCTCTATACAACCAAGAAGGTCTCGGTATAACGAACAATTTTCTTTATCCCAATAATAGAAAAATATATGGAAAAGAACTTTGATATACGAAACCTTATTATAGTGAACAAATTTTGCCAGCCTCTTGGCCGTTCGTTATATCGAGGTTCCACGGTAAAACGAAAAATAATCTAACGTGAGACTGGAAATGAAATCAGCCTCGAATAAAGTAAAGTAACGGACAACAAGCTGATAAAACTGACCTTCTTTTTCCATCTGTTTAATTTTCTCTGCCTCTTCAAGCCGTTGATTTTCTTCTCCAATTCTGCTGAGTCCCATCAGTGCAAGCAGAGTTGCTGAGTACAGAGCACCAGCCCCTGGAAGACCATCAGCACCATCAAGCTTATCATCCTTACGTAAGCGTTGAACACGCATCTTAAGCTGCATAAACCGTTCATGTTGTTCGCCTTCAGAGAGTACGGTCCACATCCCTTCTCCAATGTGATATTTAAGCATCTCCAGCATAAGCTTATCTCGAAGGATCTCGTATCTGCAGTGAAGATGCTCAGTTACGAATATGACTACATTTACTTGATGGTCATGAATTCCGTTACAGAAAAAAAGCTTTGGATATATTTTTTGAAATGATGGAATGTCCTTTAAACAGAATCAAAAGCAGATTCAAAGATGATAAATGTTCATGCACTATCCCTTTGTCATAATAAAACAATTTGCTCTGAGGAAAGGCTAGTATTAGAAATGCCAGCCTTTCCATCTCTTAAACGCGGTAAATTGACTTTATGAACTCAGCTGTTAAAACCAAAATTTTTTGTCTGTCTGTCAAGTCCGTCTATCAGTCTGTCTATCTGTCTGTCTACCTGCAGTCTGTCTACGGCAAAGGCATGTGAGAACAACCCTTGTACATGTAAGTCTAAGCTAAGAAACACAGAATGCAATGCTGCACTGGATCACATTCCCAAAAGTAGAATATTGTAAAGGGTCTTTCTCATATATACAGTAGGAGGAATGCTGTGCAATTCATTACCAACTGAAATAAAGGCATCTGAATCTAAAGCAAGAAAATTGTTCAGTAGGTAAGAAACTGTTGACTAGACTTTATCATCTGTACATATTTTTAGAGTATTATCTACAGTATTTACTTCTGTTTCAATTTTGGTTTTCATGTACAGTGTAAAGAAGTTTTGTAAATTGTGAAATTACCATATTCAAATAACAGTGAATCTATCAATCAACCTGTTTGTCTGTCTGTCTACCTACTTCTCTGTCTGTCTGCCTGCCTGCCTGCCTGTCTGTCTGCCTGTCAGCCTGTCTGTCTGTCTACTTAAGTCTAAGTGAATCCAGAAGGTAGATCCACAAATATTTTTGAAATTTCACCCATAGAATTCAAATCAGTCATAAACATTTCAATGTAATTATTAATTATTATTAACCATTTAGTTTTCTAGTTGGCCACAAAAATAACAATTACGTTTCATTTAAAATATATACATGCGAGGAACCAGAAAGAACAAAAATAAATAAATAAATAGAAATAGAACAGAAAAGAACAAATTAATTAAAATTACAGCAAAATATACAAAAAAGTAGTACAGACAAGTTTTAAAAGAATTGAGTTTAGGCAGAACTAGGATACTTATGTTTGGTTTTGACAAGTATCGCTCGGACAGGGGATAACGTTTCATTTTTTTTTTCCAAAAAAAGAAGAAGACCTAAAGAGGCACGGGTAGTCACCCAAACCATCCCTTCCCCCCCCCTCCCCCAACAAAAACCACCTCCCCAATCCTTACTTTGTTCGAAGAGCTTGTATGAGATCAGTCGCAGTAACTTTATGCCTTGCTTTCTTTGCCGCTTTCTCATCCCATTCCTCGTCATCGTGAAGTAAAGCAATAACACCTTCATGATCAAGTCGCTTAGTGCGCCTTTCAGCTCCTTGTTTCAGTTTATTTGCTTGGTGCATCCTGTCCCTTTCTTCAGCAGCAAGGGAAGCTTCATCCTCCTAAACATAAATCACAGCCATGTTTCAAGAGCTTGAATTTTGAAAATATGACTGTCTGGATGAGAGTGTAGTGGTGTCAGTCACATTGCAAAAACCTACAGCGTATGTGGAATTCATTAAAAGAGACAAATTCCACTGTGTACTATCAGTTAAAGAGGCCCTCTTCAGGGGGGTACGTGTGTCCCTAGTCTGAATTTCAAATACGGTCATTTTGTGTTTTGAGGAGACGGCTATGTCCCTGATATTTAACCCATCTTTACATGTACACCGTTTGTCACCATTTCATCAAGTCTAAAGTCGATGTTTCAAAGCCATGTTGATCACCAGACTTTCACCCTCACCCAGGGCCTGGTTGACGGTATCAAACTCCGGTTATTGACCAAATTGATCAATTAAGTCAGAGTGTTATTGGTCATCTGGATTAAGATTTGTTTAATCACAAGTATTTCATTAGTGACCAAATTGAGCGACACAAGTTCTGTTACCAATTAACTACTGTATACCAAAATTAGTGGTAATTTAGGCACTCCTAAAATTAAAATACAGGATTTTCAGAGTTTTTTTGCTAGAAGTGAAAATAATTCATGTGCGACTGTGCAATGCCACTTACTGTCGAGTTGGTGAAGGTATGATGCATTATACTGTCCTATGTATTACAATGTCCTATTAATGCTGAAATCAGGGCTGCTGATAGTCAAGCAGATAAGAGACCTTTGTACTAACATGATTAAAGGGAAATTGGACACATCTCCTATTAGACAACCAACTTTTGGTTTCAATAGCAAAACTAAGCTAGAGCAAACCTATCAGTATTTAAATGGACAGGTACAGTTTCCTCCTTCAACGTACTTTAAGACAAGTCTTATAACATTGTCCTCTAATGTAGTCTGTACCAGGCCCTTCGGTCCACGTGGATGAGCGAAAAAAGCAAACGAGCAGTGATAATAGCGAAGGAATGAATTATGGCGGAAAGAGAGAAGAGGAATCTAAACCTCAATCCACCCACCACCCCATATACTTCCTAAAAAACCATTTCTCATGCCAAAATGTCAAATGTCGTTCATTAAACGTGTGGTGTAGGAGGGTTTCGCAGCTTGACATGTATGTTAGACTCTAAGCACATAAAGCCAAATGATTGACAGAAGTGTTGAAGTAAGCTGTCAAAACCGACCAATCATAGGGAAGGAACTGATACATGTACATGTATACTGGAAAGAGGTACTGAAAACAATGCTTACAGCAGGGTTCTTATTTAGTGCCAGCAGCCGGCTAAAAATGGCTACTTGGAGGTTTGAGCCATTCACTTTTTGGGGAAATAAGGTAAAGTGAGAGAGTGAAAGCCTGATATTGCCTACAGGACTCAGTTACCAAGCCGCCTACTTTAGATCATAGCTGTCTACTTTAAAACTTAATGAGAACCCTGTTACAGGCACCATTACTCCATCTCTCCCCTGGTCCTACACAGTTTTTGTGCAAATTTTCTCGATTCACTTTCCTCACCATCTTAAAACCTGGAACAGGGAACCTTAAAAAGCAACATTGGAGCATTTGAATACCCAAAAAACCCCACGTAGTTAAATCAAGCTAATTTTCCAACCTGAAAAAATCCTTCAATCATCCCTGTCACTTGAAATCCAGAGTATCCCCCCCCCCCCCTGGGTTATGATCTCTATCATTTCTGTTGACAGGTAGAGGGGCATATAACAGGAGGGAGTTGGGGGGGGAGAAGGGGTATAAGAAACAGAGACTGCTCATTTAAAATACCTGAAATTTCTCCAGTTCCTTGAGATTTTCATACTTGTTATTGCAGTAACGTAAGGTGACAGATGTCTCTTCCTCTTCAAATTCCTCATCATCGCATGGTCCACCGTCTACAAGGTTGCACAAGAAGATTTTGATCTCGTCATAACATAGGTCTGCGTTTGGTATCTCACGTTGTGACAGAAAGGAACGCCATGTCTTCATAGAGAATAATTCACTGTGAACCAATTTAAACAACATCAGTAAAACCATGAAAACGGTAATTATAAAAACCCCATGTGTCCACATACAAACAGAAAAAGCTCCACGTAGGTAAACCCAACAAATTTTCCCACCCAGAAAAAACCTTGTAACACCCCTGGTTCTGTAAAAGCCGTGAATCCCCCCCCCCCCCCTGGGTTATGATCTCTATCATTTCTGTTGACAGGTAGAGGGGCATATAACAGGAGGGAGTTGGTGGGGGAGAAGGGGTATAAGAAACAGAGACTGCTCATTTAAAATACCTGAAATTTCTCCAGTTCCTTGAGATTTTCATACTTGTTATTGCAGTAACGCAAGCTGACAGATTTCTCTTCCTCTTCAAATTCCTCATCATCGCATGGTCCACCGTCCACAAGGTTGCACAAGAAGATTTTGATCTCGTCATAACATACGTCTGCCTCTGGTATCTCACGTTGTGACAGAAAGGAACGCCATGTCTTCATAGAGAATAATTCACTGTGAACCAATTTAAACAACATCAGTGCACTTTTGAGTGAGATCCTTCCATTTCCTTCTACATCGACTGCCTTAAAATCCCAAAAGACTTTCTCCTCCAGCGCTTTGCGTCGGTCTAGTTCATCAAGGACGTTGACAAACTTTTCTCGAGGGCAGACGCCGCGAGAATCAGGACCACAAACTGTTCGAATTGCTGCTTCGATTTGCCTGTAATCTATGGGAGAAAAATACAGTGACTCGTGGAAATCTTGCAGCTGGTTTGAGGTCAGATAGCCTCTCATGTCCGTGTCCAATAAGTCAAACATCAATTCCAGATCAAGGATTCCCATTTTCGAGGATTATACTTAAAATTAACACTCTGCAATTATTATGAACGATGACACCGGCAAGTGAGATGTTTCGAGGTTTTGGTCATGACTTTTGCATCAATTGTCCATTTTCAAAATATTCAGCCTTACTAGCCATAATGGGTCGCGACAATAGCAAGATCTGATCCTTTTGGTTTCATTTTGAAGCCAAACTCTTCCCACTAAAAGTCAAACTTTCTTGCAAAGGAAGAATTCAAGTAGCTATGGCTGCCGCAGTATTTACGGCGTGACGTCAGAGGTCACGGAGGAAAAATAAAATTGTACCCGCACACGGAGTACCCGCAAGGGATTATCGGATTTCAACGATAATTGAAAAATCTTACGGGGAATAAAGTTTTGGCAGACAATGTCAAGACTTGAAGAATTTTGAGAAACGAGCAGATATTTCGTTTTTGGGTATCGCTATGTATGCTAATGACGTTGAAACAAAGGAAAATAACAATTACATGAGATAAAAATTAACTACAACAAATACACCTTGATCTTCTGGTGGTCTGTCTGATCAGATGTAAAAATTTGGCGGGAAACTACTCAGTCCACCTGAGACACCTGAAGACCAAGCAGTGCATTCACTTACATAATCCCAAAAAATCCTCCTTTTTAGGCAATAAATGGGCTCCTGTATGATCTGAGGTTTTTTCACGCTCCCATCCAGGAGTCCAGACCACGTGGAAATTTTATCGATACATCAATTCGCAATGTGCGTCATGGATGTTACACGAGGTGTCACACAATGGAAAGTTGCCCATGGCAACGGTGTGTAGGTGTTCAGAAAGTAGACAAAAGTAATCTCCCGCAAGGTCAGCCTAAGCAAAGTTTAAAACAACGATTTAAAAGAGTATCTGTGTTTCTGAAAAGTTCAGTCAATTATCAAAATGGTTCGGGAACTAAATATGGACACACAGCGTCAGAACTTTTGGAAAGAGTCCATCGATAAAGAAGCTTTTGTGCGCCTGGCTTGGCATGCGAGATACTCGAAGGAATGGGCTCGTGATGCAGCCCAAGTGGCCCAAAGACCTCGCAAAGAAGGGCTAAAAATAAACGCTCTGCACTCACTGAAACAAGAAATGGAAGCAAAAGAGAAAGAGGAAAAGGAGAGTCGTAAAGAGGTAGAGGAAACGGCAAAGAAAGACCCGGAATCGCTTCTTGTTGAAATGCGTCCCGTGTCCAGAGATACAAGGGAACTTCTCTACGATGGCTTCAGCGCTCTTGGTGGAGGCCGCTATGCGTATTTACAGAAGAGGAAGCTGAAAGACCCGGAGATAAAATACGAATTTCCCATCTTAAGCTCGTGGGAAATTGGATGGAGACTCCAGGATTGCGTAACCCAACACGGTGCGCCGAAAAATGGTCGTACGAGGGTTATTCGAGACAACTTTTTCCGACCAAACGGAATCTTCTACACATCATAAACTTTCTGATGAAACATTAACTTTAGACGCTTGTTACTCTTTTTGGAGATCGTTCTGGACTTCAGTGTTTTATTCCCCTTCAGTTTTAACAGTAACTTTTGTGTATACGCTTGCTCTGTTGGATGTTTTTAATTTTCAACTCTTTTTGAAGCTGGGTCACAGTTAATTAGTTTTGCGATGCACTCAAGGTGCGATTAATCGATTTGATTGAAAAATAAAAAATATTGTGGCGGTTCCGTCTTGTTTTGACCAAAAAGTATAGTGCAGACAAAAGTGTTTATACTGGTTTTTTATCACATTTTTTTAGGGGCGAGTTTTAATATATATTTTCATGTCACATGTGGCTTTATAAATTTTGTATGGTGAATAGAAATCACCGAAGGCACAAAGGAATGTTGCGAATTTTTGTACTATTATTTGAAGGTAAATAACATTAAAATCTAATCCTTTATTTGAAATTCTTTATTTGATGTCTCATTTCTTCTTGTAATTAGTTGTGACAACAAAGCAGTTTAGAGTTAAATCCCTTAGATAATACAGATTTATCAGCATTCTAAAATTTAATAGTGTTCGTCGTTTGCATCCAAGCGACAATCATAACTATAACAAAATTCTCAAATCTGATTGGTTCTCAACTGCCCTGATTTCAGCCTTAATAGGACAGTTTAATAGGACAGTACGCGTCATGCCTAAGTAATTGGACAGTACGCGCCATCACGCGCGCGCTTAAATGGCTTTTTTTTTCATAGCTAGCGAAAAAATCTTGGAATTTCTTGTGTTTTGATTTAAAAAGAGCCCTATATATCACAAATTTTGTTAAAGTTATGATTAATTGGTAACAGAACTTCGTGTCCTCCAATTCGGTCTGTAATCATACTCGTGACTAAACAAATCGGACTCCCGCTACGCGGTCGTCCGATTTTGTTAATCACTCGTATGATTACAGACCGAATTGGACTCCACTCAGTCCTGTTACCATTACTAATTGAATTAATTAAGGCGACCATGTTGGGTGACAAAACAATACAATGAAATCAGCTCCACGGTTGTCACTAAGAATTCACGTTGCAGGGTAAATACAACCAGTAGGCGGGGAATCAAACAGCTAGGGTTTTCTTTTGGTTCTATTTTTCTTATATTTTCCTATGAAAGTAGCCGGGGCCATGTTTATAGTAGCCAGAGGGAACCCGCGGCCCCCGCCTCTTAATGACAGCCCTGAACTCCCTCCAATGTGGTCACCTTTAGGACTGGCACTATGTTACCATCTTAGAGAGATGTCCATCTTATAGAGAGTTAACTAAGTAAGGGTTACAGTACTAGAAGTATCTAAATAACTTAGTTTATTGGACTTGAGCCAATCCCTTTTCTCTGAGGGGAGGGGGCAACTGAACACAGGCTAATTGCACTTCAACTACACTAAAAATAACTGTTCAGCATTTCCGTATAGAACAAAATGTAACTTGCTTACCCCCAAAAATTTTTCATAACCATTGTCTTCAATTATTTCTCTGGGACGACTGTAATACCGAGGAGAAATTTGGTTATGGAAATTTTAAGGGGGGGGGGGAAGGCAAGGGTACATTATTGCTTAACTTTAAAAAAATTCTGTTGCCATCATCATTTTATGTCAGTTATGTATTTTTTTGTTTTAATCCTTCCTTGGTCCTTTCTTTTCTCTTTGCTCTGATTTAAAATACACATTAATTCAATGGCATCTACAAACACTAAGAAGGTCAAACAGTATCCACTTTACAAATCAAGGAAGTGCACATATGAGTTTTGTCTCTTAGGGAGAGAATGTGTAAACTTCCGATCTGACTGATCTGCATTTGCATAATATTACAACTGGTGTTTGCATGGTAGACACCAGTCTCAACTAATATTATAATAATTCTCGCTTCTTTGTGTCTTCTTTCCTTGGATGTGAGACTCTTCCATTTTATGTCCATTCACTAAAACATTATGCACTTCCAAGAGATCCATTCCTTTTGAAAGGTAACAGAAAGCTCACTGCTTACAGTTTTCCAGGGTCTTCCTTTAGGGAAATTGTGCGATTAAACACCAGCTGAGAAAAAGAATGATAAAAATTTCTTTAGTGAATAGTTTGAAACGAGGCACTAAAGTGGCACCACCTATATCTAATATCTGGAGTCACAGGTTCGCACATTCAAGTAGTCTCCCACACAGCTGTTTTTATCTTGTCATGCAATACTCCTCCCCAAAGAAAGGAACACTGCAATGTGACAAGACAAAAACCATTGTAGCATTCAAGGGGTTCAATGAAGAAACAGCACCCAGCACAAGTAGCACTGTTCTCATTGAGTCAATTTGAGCATCTTCATTAGTACTTCACCTTTTCTGGGGGGGGGGGGGGGGAGGGGGGGGGGGGTTTTTTTAACTTAAAAAACTTGAATTTTTAGGCGTGTTTTAAAATTATTTAAAATTAACTTTTTTTTTTTTTACCTTTTGTCTAAAACTAAAAAAAACAATTTTTTTTAAATACATATTTATTTGAGCATAAAAATGAGAAGAGGCA